CCGTACCCCTTGGTTATGGGTTCTTGTTTTATTGTTGTAATGTGTGTCGTAAATAAAGTACCTGCGGTCAAGCGATCAATGCAGTGCAGTCAACAAATGTAGAGTCAACCTATAAAATCTTGTTCAATTTCCTTAACCTTAAAAATTCAATGAATATGCTCCTGTGACTCAAAGTATTGACGATTATTGAGCTTATAATTCGAGATCTTGAATGTCATAATTGTCTTTTAATATATAGTTTGCTATATTCACTTAAATGAATTTTGCACTTACACAAAAACTTCTACAATACACGATACAACATCGTTGTTATTGCAAATTTTTGTTTTCTTTCTTAATATGCTTTTAAATTTGCAATGCTTGTGTCTTCCACCTTATTATTCGGCAGCAAAACTTTTTCCAAAAGCGTACATTAAACAAAGAACACAAAGAAGAATACAAAATGAAATAAGAAAAGAATAATTTCTGAATAAAAGTACTGTTATGCTTGAAAATTTCTCAAAAAAAAACCTTTGTTTTGATACTTTTTTAATCTTAAAAAATTTTTATATTTCCCTTTAATCGTCTGTAGAATATATTTACAATAAATGTACATATAATGCCATGTACGTTATATATATATACCCAACATATAATCCCATGTAGGGTATATTCGTAACATACGTATACTTGTACGTAGGGTATTTATCAATAGGCATTTATATTTTCAATATATGTACGTATACTTGTACATAGGGAAAGAACATTTTGGTTCAATGATAAACATTCTGTATAAATTAATTAAATTAAATAAAATTAAATTAAATTAAATTGTGAAATGTGATGATTAGTAATTACGATTGTTAACGTTTGTTTTGTTTACTGGGAAATATTTTCAGTATTTTTGCACATACATGTATTTAATTTTTTGCTCAATGTTTGCTATAAGCACGAACATATACAAAATTTATTATTTTTTTTATTAATTCATTCATTGTCCAAAATCAGCTCAGTTTAATTTTATTTTTGGAAGTTTCTGTAAAATTTTTTAATACCAAATGTTAATCGAATATTTTTCGATTTGACCTCAACTTAAACTTGATCGAAAATTGCATTACATATACATACCTATATTTTGAAATTAAGAGAAATGTGGGATTATATCAGGATGAACACGATCTCAATTCCCCGACATGCTAATGCAACTTTTATAATTACGTTGTATCGGACATTTAAGTAGGAAATTCTTACATGAAATCCACCAATGTTAAGTAGACGCCCTACCTGACTACTTGATATTTCTCGTCGTTTGTATGATCAATGTAACACTTCCACACAGTAGTTTGTTGTTTTTGTTAATCAAATTAACATAATAATATTACAATTGTAAACCTTGATATTTCGAGAAGTAACCTTTGTCCTCACTTAGTTTAAAGGAAAACGTTGCTCAAAACAGCTGAGCCTACCAAAATCTGTGGTCAAAGCCAAAGTGTGTTATGTTTTCTTTAAGTGAAATAAAAATGTTTCGATTTGCAAATTGGATATATTTTTCAATAAATTTATTATTTAATTTATGCAATAATATTGCAGTGTGCTCTACTTATTGTGCATCGTTTCCAAAGTTTTTAATTAGAAATAAATCCTTTCTATCCTACACTGTAAGACAGAAATAAAGGATGCGCCTTTAGGATATCAATCTTATAGTAAGGATCCTAATTGATTATTGTCGGTTTAGTTATTATGTCAGGAAAATAAAAAATTTGCTTTAACAATTTATGTCTCAGCTATGAGTAAAATGAAGGAAATACTTTATATTGGAGTACGATACACAACATACGTTCTTACTATTCTCTGCAGTCCCATATTCACATCCTTCTCTTATTAAGTGTGAGAATCGAAACCTAGCAAAAATAAATAAATACTAAATAAAATGAGAATAAGTCTAAAATCAGATGTTAAATAAAGTGCACGTATTCTGGAATAACCAGCAATGCCTAATATTGCTACCCTGCAGCCGTCCGCAGCATAGCTACAACATTCAATGGGTTTACTATTTAATGGAGCTAAGTCAGTCATAGTATTTCATTCTAAAGAGAATCATTAAAGGCTAAAAGTTGTAGTTTAAAACAAGTTATATAAAAACTTGTTATATGATTTATACAGTAGTGAAATAAGACACTATCCCTAATTAAAAACAAATGAAGATGATAACCGCCTAATTATTGATTGTAGATATATGGCATTTATTTATTTATTATGTATAAATGTACAAAAACAAGAAGATAATTGTTTTAGTCCAAAATTTTTAAATGTATTAAAAAAAATTGTTATATATGTATGTAACATAATTAAAAACAAACCGTTTTAAGTTTTATTTAGCTAATAACTCTTATTCAAAGCTGCCGACTCTACTATCCAAAAGCTACAAGTTGCTCAAAGTCAGGCAACAAGACCAAAGAGTCTGCAAAGTACCATGGTACATCCGCACGTATGACATGCTATGAGACCTTAGAATAGATTCGGTCAAAAAATACATAAGGGACAGAGCTCTGAAGCTAGGTTGCCCTACTTAGCACTAACACAGAATAATCACAGAGTAATCACTAACCGCATGGGGCGGTACGCAGATCATAGATCAGTCATTAAATAATCACGAAGAATACTCAAATTAGTCAGTGCGATGGGCGGGACTCTGCGGAATCACCCCAGCTATCATAGAGTAAAAGTGCCCAGATGCACTAACTCGGAAAAGGCTTAACAAATACATATATCTTATTCACACGAGTACAGAAATAAACTGTTTCTCCCTCAAGTACAAAGCAAAAATAAAAATTAATCTCACTCTCACTTCCGATCATAGATATAGTATAAATATTTTAAATTCCTTTGAACATTTTTGGTAATGGGTTGATCCCTACTCATAAATCAATACTTGACATATTCTGTTTGGAATTAATGCATATAACTGGGATATATAATTAAGAACACCATTGTATTGTAATACATTGTACCATTGTAATCTAATGAAAAACTTTAACTAACTTTAATATCTTAATATGGCTTAAGTCTAAAGTTATAGGAAATAAAAGCATCACATTCTGGTGGCTTACGTACTAATTTACAATCCATATCATGTAAATTAGTGTAATATAATATTGTCCAAAGCAGAGGTTCAAACATATCACCAAGTAATCAAAATCGAAGCTTACTGGCAGTATAAAAGCGATCGCTCCTTACTGTATTGAACCACTCATCAATGTAGCCTATACAAGTGACAGCTTTTATTTCATGCATTATAAACATATTAGTTATAGCCTGAGAAGTCTTTTAAATTATACTTTTTCTTGTCTGAGAAAACAATAATAATACCAAATAGTTGTTAAGCATACATTAAAATCTGTTTTCTTCTCACATTAGCGCTTGGTTATATAAATCAGCTGCTTCAGAGAGTGCTCTATATGTACCAGTTTTAATATTTTTTCTTTTTCACAAATTAAGACTCTATACAACAATGGGGCGAATAGCGTAAATATTAGTGTTTTTTAAAAAATACTTAAGAACCTAAACAGGAATTCTGACCAAGCACTATAGGTTGTTTTTATTATCATACCAAATTTTTTTTGTTAGGACAAGACTGAAACCAGAAAACGCGTACTTGGAACTTGCTTTGCACTATACCTATATAACTAAAGGAAAAAGCTATATAGAGTACCTTAGATCAAATGAACTAAATTGGTTCAGTATTACATTTGATTGAAAAAATTTAACTTAGAGAAATAATCTGAATCCATAAAAGGTGCACAATAGAATTTTAAGTCGCAAAACGAAATTCTCCAAGTTAACTATCAATAAATTATTTATTTATTATTTATTAATTATTTATGATTTAATTAATTAATTTTTAAAAATGAAATCGTAATATCTTATATATAAAATTAACATTGTCAAAATGTTAGTTACCGTACTCCTCCGAAACGGCTTTACCGATTTTTACCAAATTTTATATGCGTATTCAGTTGGTCTGGGAATCGGCTACTATCTATTTTTCATACCGCTAAAGTGATTAGGGTGTCCCTATCCAGCAAAAATATCTTTATTGCTTTAACAAAAATTTTTTTATTTTTTTGACATAAATTTTTTTATATTTTTGAAAAAGAAAACTTGCTATGATATGAAAAGTTGTTGTCTATGAAAATACTGAATTCATAAAACTGCCCCTAATTTCTGCACTATCGTTGATTCCCAAAATGCTCTCATTGACCGCGTATTTCCAGATGTACACATACAATACATAAATCATGGGTGGCTGGCAGAAAGAGCCATTAGCAGCAAAAAAAACGTGGACGTTGATGAATTAAACTTCAAGATAAAACAGACATTGCCAAGCGACTTAATATCATACAAATCGATCGATACAGTTTGTGATACCAACGAAGTTGTAAACTATCCAGCAGAGTTTTTAAACTCGACTGAAAGTTGGATCACCTATTATTTTACTTCGGAATTTGAACCCACCACGGCTATGCAATAGTACGCGATTGGTAATTAAAAAATTGATGAAAAACATTATCGAAGCCACCATTTTGAATGGCAAGGTCCGAAACGAAAAACTTTTATTGCCACGAATTCCAATGATTCTTACAGACAA